TATATATATATATATATATATGTTTACATTATACTGATGTCTCCTAAGGAGCTCTAGTGGCTCTGTGTCTAATGCATCTGACTACTAACCAGAAGGTTGGTGGTGCAAAAACACCAGCTGCTCTGCAGAAGGAAGATGGAGCAATCTACTTCCATAAAGATTTACCACCTTAGAAACACAATGGGGGTCGTTATGCGTCAAAATCAACTCAATGGCAGTGGGTTTGTTTTTTGGTTTGTAGGCTATTAAGTATGCAACCACATTATGAAAAAGTTTGAAATATTTGAGAATGACCAAACCGTGATACAGACATGAAGTGAGCACATGCTGTTAGCAACATGACACCGACAGACTTGCTCAATGCAGCGTTGCCACAAACCTTTAATTTGTTAAATAAACAAAAATACAATGTCAGCAAAGCACAATAAAATGAGGTAAGCCTGTACAATCAAACAAAAACAGGTATTAGAAAGAGTACAGTAGATGAAATCAAACACATCTGCCTAATATGGTAGGTAACTAGAAGAAAAGGCAAGGCCATTAAAATATACTTGTTTCAAGTCCTAAGAAGCAAAATGATTTTATCCTATGCCTAAAAATGTGAGTTGTAAACTATTTCCTAAGAAATAAATATTTAACACTGGGAGGAAAGAGAGGAGACAGAATTAAAGGAAACTTTAAGAAAGCACATAAAGGCAGAGAAAGAATTAAAGAAAGCATTTTAATGTAAAATAACCATCTAAAACAAGAGGTATACATGGGTTTAAAAAAATGTTGCATGATCTTTTGAACATTTTAACTACATAGTCAAGTTAATCATCTGATTTGTAGATTATTTTAAACCCTCTGCTGCTTCAATTGCTTATATTTATTATCTGTTGACAAGCTAACTCTACTTTATAAATGACATCTGAGAGTAAAGAAGAAAATCTAACTCTGTCCATTTTGCTACATTAATCACAAAATGGCTGGAGAAGCATTTTAAAAACTGATAAAATTAGGAGTCTTAAAGACAATGATTCCATTTCTTAACATTCTCAAAGCCCATGAATTACTACAGACAATTTAAAATATGTATAAATTTTCATAGGACTATTTCAACTAGCGGTTCAAACCCACCAGCCACTCCTCAGAAGGAAGATGGGGCAATCTACTTCTGTAGTGATACTGCCTAGAAAACCCAAGGAGGGGTCGCTATGAGCCGGGGCCAAATCGACGGCACACAACAACAACATTTCAACTAGCAATGTAACACTACAGCAAGCATAGATAAAAAGAAAAATTCACTTAATAACATAACAAAAGAAAATTTTCACAAAATTTTAATTTTGAACAATCTTATATTTTCATAACACAATTTTTTAAAATTCTCAATTTTAGAGGAAAGCATCAATTATCCAATATAAGGTAAAATAACTGATTTTTTTCAAAACTGACTTTTAATAAAATGGCCACATGTCAATTTTCATCAATAAACTCCACAAGAATTATATGAATTCTGAAATAGTACTTAAATGTTAGGATACAGCCCGGAACTTATGAATCTCCAGTAATAGATTCTGGTCTTTCTAGACATAAAAATGCAAAAGCTATCTGAAGATTAAGATAGTATGTCAAAACAAAAAATCTACTAATTAAAACGAAATTCTTAATGGATACTGTGGTAGTTAATTAACACTGTGTGCCAACCTGGCTGGGCCATGGTTTTACTCAAATCCATGGACAGCTGGATAGTTATACCCCATGAAAAGACTGTAAGCACCTCCATCGTGCAATCTGCTATGAGTAGCTAAGTAGTTATCTTTGGGGTGTGGCCTGCTTCCAGTATGTAAGGAGAAGCTTTAAAGAAGGTCTCTAGCTTTTGGCACATCTGGATCCTACATTTGGCCAAATCTTCATCTCCAGTTCCTAATCTTAACCAGTGGCCTGCTGTGTTGCCTGCTGATCTTGGGTTCATCAGCCTTAGCAGCCAGCAGCTGCCTGAGTTAGGGAGTTAGGAAATGCTTCTAGTTCCAATGGTTCTGGAGTAAGAGGCAGAGCTGAAGCCCAAGGTCAAGGGGCCTTCCCCCAGCCCCTAGAGCCAACACTGAATTTGGACTTAGCCTCCTGCAAGTGTAAGAGAATAAATTCCTGTTAAACAATTCATTTGCGGTATTTCTGTTAGCAGCATTAGGAAACAAAGACAGACATGTTACCTATCACAAACCCACTTAACAAATGAAGTTGAGATTCATTTGCTCCACACTGTGTGCCTCGGACCAAGCCTCTCCATAAAGGTTGCTACCGGCAGACAGTTTTGAATCTGAGCCCATTATCCTGGTTAAAATGGAGTAGTATCAAGTACTGGTAACCATAACCAGATTTATAATCTGGGAAAAAACTTGTGCTCCACCTTTTGTGGTCACAGAACCCTTTGAGAGACTGATGGAAGTTATATCCTAACACCCCATTAAAACACATAGGGCACATAATCACAAAAATTTTACATTTAACCTTTTGGTAGGGTAAGAGTGAAGTAAGTAGGTTGGGGAAAAGTTGTTCATCAACTCCCTGAAGCCTGCTGGTTAAAAAGACATGACGAAATCTTCTACCTCTACAGATCCTCAAAAGAGAGGTAATAAGTTATGTAAATTATAAAATGAACCACAAACAGAATGCTAAATAATCCCAAGGTGATGCTGCCCCACAAAGGGATTTTATGTTGGGCATTACATTTGGGTGGCACTACTATTGGACGAGAAAGAGGATGTTAGGGTAAATTCACACAATTATGTTCCCATCCTGCCAAGTTTTCAAATATCCTTCTAGAAATTCATATTGGTGAAAAATCCCTTTATAATTAATTATATGAGCCTGGTACCCAGCTTCATTTTACACTTAAAGACAATGTTGCAGTTTTAATATACAGTGAATTTTCCAGAAATATATCTGTTGTGTAAAACAAAAAAATCTGTCTTTTGCTTAAAACTTTAAAAGGTGAGTTTACTATTTCAGAAAATTATTCTACCAAAAGCACTGCCACTCATGGTACTAGAATCACCAACACAACACATCTGTATCCATCAGCAGCCA